GGGGGAAAGGAGGAGAAATGCTTTGGAGAAGGGGAGGGCTACAGAAGAACAAGCCTGTTGTATCAGGTCCGACAGTGGAAATGAGGAGGGACTAGTGACTCTTGACATGACGCTTGTCCTGAGCTTTTGCACAGGGAGCGGGCTCACACGCTAGCAGAAGGATGCCTGGGGCTGCACTGAGGTGCTCTTTATTTTCCCAATTATTTTCTTCCTTCTCCTTTTTCCCTGTCTTATTCTATCAATTTGAAAAGCTGCTGTGTAAGATACCTTGCTTCTGCTTCCATCTGTCCTGTCTTCTCAGATGAGGAGTCTTGCCCTGCTGGTACCTTCTGCCTTTTGTCATTGTACGCTATTCCCCCTTACGTTCCTGCGTGTAAGCATCTGCAATCCTTCCCAGGCAGGAGATGAAAAGAGAAGTTAGAGCTTTAGAGGTGCTTGAGTCTAGAGAAGATGAGGTTGGAAAGGGTCTAAAGCACGTAGCGAGAAAAACACTTAAAGCCGTGCCCGATGTTTAGCATGCAGCCTCCAGCACGCTCCAAAGGTGGTCTTCTGGATGAGGGACAGGGGAGAGGAGTATAACACACGTTTGTGGCTTGAGAGGAAGCGCTCCAAGTATTTATAGTTCCCTAGTTCGGGAGAGCGCAGTCGCGCTGTACTGTCACCTGCCCACGGAACGTGGAGAGATCAGCAGTGCCGGAGCCGGGCTGGCAGCGCTGCTCCAGGAGATCTGATGCCGTGCTCGGAAGGAGCTCCTGCAAAACTGCTTTTTCCTTACTGCCGTGGGAGCTGGCGGATGTGCAGCTGAAGTCTGTGCTAATGATTCCAGATGTTTAGCTGAACACTTTCCTTTTGATGGAGCAGTTTCAGGAGGATAATAGAGTGTATAACTAGGTTCATAATATTTCAGCAGCACTTTACTGAACTGCCGCCGTGATTGGTACTGTGCCTCTGGCTCCTGCAGCCCTAACTAGCCCAATTAGGCACCGTTTCAGCGTATGTGCTTTTTTTTTAAATGTCTGTTCTTCCTGATTCTCAGCACTCCCCAAGGCTCCTGGGACGCCGGTGGTGACAGAGACGACAGCAACAAGTATCACCATCACCTGGGACTCTGGAAATCCAGACCCTGTGTCCTACTATGTCATTGAGTACAAGTCCAAAAGCCAGGACGGACCCTATCAGATCAAAGAGGACATCACCACCACGCGCTACAGTATCGGGGGGCTCAGCCCCAACTCCGAGTACGAGATCTGGGTCTCTGCAGTCAACAGCATCGGGCAGGGGCCTCCCAGCGAGTCAGTGGTCACTCGCACCGGGGAACAAGCTCCTGCCAGTGCCCCCCGGAACGTGCAGGGACGCATGCTGAGCAGCACCACCATGATCATCCAGTGGGAGGAACCGGTGGAGCCCAACGGGCAGATCCGTGGCTATCGTGTCTATTACACCATGGAGCCCGATCAGCCCGTTAGCAACTGGCAGAAGCACAACGTGGACGACAGCCTCCTGACCACGGTGGGCAGCCTTCTCGAGGATGAAACCTACACCGTGCGGGTCCTGGCCTTCACCTCCGTGGGAGACGGGCCTCTTTCCGACCCCATCCAGGTTAAGACACAGCAAGGAGGTGAGCACCTCTGTCACTAACCTGGGATGCTCTGGGCTGCAGGAGGGAGAGGTGTTGGCTTACAGCGTTATCCAGCTGCGGCTGCTGTGTCACCAGAGCGGTTTTTTCTTTAGTGATTCAATTTGGTTAAAGTAGAAATAACCTTCTGGGAAGAAGCTCAGTCCAGTGCCTGGAGCCCGAGGGCTTGGTGCATGATATCTGATCAGTTTTTTCTGGGAAAGGTTGTTTCTTAAACGGGTGGGGCAAGCAATTATGCAAAGAGAATCCGTTTCTGCTGTGGCATGCTTCAGGGTAAGATATCGTACTGCTTTCAGTTCCTAAATGTCTTTAATAGGTCTAAAAACACTCACTGCCCAGGCAAGGGTGAAGCTTAACTCTTCTTAAAGTACCCAGGCACTGTCTTCTCAGAGATGAGTGGGGAATGAGCCTTATTTTGCCTGTTTCTAAAAGGGGAGCAAACCGAAGCCCTCATTGCCCCAGCAGATGTGCTGAGCTGAGAACAAAAGGGGTTTTATCATGGGCTGTCATCCAGCATTCTGTCGGGTGCTCTGCTTATGGCGTGGGGTGCTGGTGAGGAACCCTGCACCCTGAACGGGCTGCTTGTGGGCTTCCCACTTCCAGAATCTGTAAATACTGGGGAGTAGTGGGAAGGGCTGTATGCCGCACTGCCAAGAAAGAGGCTGATGGTCCAGTGGGACTCTGCCATCTCCAGCAGCTCTGGACATGCTTGAGTCCTGCCGTGGGATTTTGCGTTAAAGGCAGGGTCTGCCCGCTCTGCAGCGTGGCATTGTGCTGCTGACAGGCTCTTCACACGCAGGCTTGGAAGAAAACAGGGCAGGAGTCTTCTAATTAGCCAGGTTAATGTGGTTTCTGCTGTCTCTCATCTTGCCTCCTCTCCTCCCTCGGCACCTTCCCTGTGTCAGTTCCTGGGCAGCCGATGAACTTCCGAGCAGAAGCCAAGACGGAGACGAGCATCGTGTTGTCGTGGAGCCCTCCCCGCCAGGAGATCATAGTGAAGTACGAGCTCCTCTATAAGGAAGGAGACCACGGCAGGGAGGTGAGTCCGGAGAGGAGCAGCCCAGAGGGTTGGGGGGCCCCGAGGAGCATCCCGACCCCCCGTTCCCCCGCGGTGGCTGAGAGAGGGGGAGTAGGGAAGGTGTCCCCGGGCAGGGCTCGCCTCTGCTCCTTTTTGTTTGTTTTTATACCCCCCCCCCCCCTCACCCAGCTCAGGTGCAGAGGAACTTCGAGCCAACAACCTCCTTCACTGTGGAAGGCCTGAAGCCCAACACTGAGTATGTCTTCCGGCTGGCCGCCCGCTCGGCTCTGGGCCTGGGGGCCTTCACCCCGGAGGTCAGGGAGCGCACCTTGCAGTCTAGTAGGTGTCTCTCCTTTTCCCACCCTTCTCTGAGGGGAAGACAGTCAGGGAGCCAGAGATGGTGGGCACAGGGGTACGGAGCTGTGGGGCGGACGGTGG